GTCATTCAGAAATTGCTTGACGAATGGTTTCGTCATTCGTCAATGACGAAAGTTTCGTCATTCGTCAGGCATCTTTAAAGTCGACCAACAGCCAAAATATTAGTAGATAGGCTGAGACAATTTGATGAAGAATTGATATGGAGTAGATCCAAATTATTTAACCAAATTTTAGAAATTGATGACCTGTCGAAAATTCTTTAATATACGATCAAACCAAATTGACTCAGACACATAAACAAGCTATTTATACAAGTCGACCTTTAAATTTTCTAAAACTTTCCAAACCAGTAAGTGCTGGTAAGTATATTATTTTTCAAAACATAGGCTTTAATTTGTATTTTAATGTACAATGACTCTATATAATGGATAATTCAAGAGTCAAATGGATTAAGACTTTATTATGCTTAATTAGTCTTTTCTATTGCGTATTTTCTTTTCTATAAGCTATAGAAAATCAGACAATCTAATTCTTAATCTTTTTCTCTAGCTGTAAGTAAATCTATTGATCCATTTGAAGTGCCTGATACATAATCAGCTAAATTTTATGAACATTTAATTATATTTGTTTTTGGTTTTATACATAATAATAGTATTATATTTAACATAAATATATATATATATATGATATTTAATTCTTTGATTTCTAATGAATTAAGTTTTGAAATTATGTACGTACATAGCGTTTTTGCATCAAAATTTTTTGTCTTTTTTTAAAATGAAATTACAAAACGATTGCCTTTTTGAAATATTAAATAACTTGCGACTATACTCGTGTATTATAAACTGTCAATAGTTTACCACTATTAAGGAGCAAATGCAACAAGCAATTTAAGAGACAGATGCTAATAAATACATGTCTTTTAGTCTGAAGAACATAATTAATTTCTTTTAAAATTGCCCTTCCAAATTATCCAAAACCATTATTCAGATAAACAAATTATGTGAATTGCTTAATTATAATGATTATAATGATTACGAGCTTTGACGAAAATAATAATCTAACTTTCTTAGACCTTTCTTGACATTGATTACGAAGTAAGAAAAACTTTTGCAAGGAAAAGACATCAGCAGATGCACTTCGTATAAACACTACTGACTTCCTTCATATTAATCAATTTTTTATATACACATATTTTAACGTCATCCTTGGTAACTGTTATGAAATGGAATTGAGTAAAAAAGAATGAACATGACGCATTGATTATTAATAAAAATTCGCTAAAATGGGAATAGTGATGGAATATATCGTATTGGTGTTTGTTACCAAGATGAAAAATATCGTATTTGTGTTTGCTACCAAGATGAAATTGGAGTTAATGAAAATTTGCACAAAGCGTTCATTTATACGAAAAATTAGCAAAGATGGGAAATATTAATGGGATGTACACTTTTAATGATCGTTGCAAAAAAGAATTGAACATCAAATAGGTTTGCAAACAACTGAACATTGTATCAAATATCGATATAAATGTCATTTTATTCTTTATTGCACTAAAATTATTTAAATAAGTTTATATATTCAATAATGAGTTAGATGTTAAATTTTTTCCACTAAAACTTGTTTGTTAATAGTAATTCTGATATCTTTTAATCACAAGTTAAAAAGATGAAAATTTTGATATAAATGGTTTTCATTTTCTTTAATTTTTTATTGGCATCGTTGGTAGTTATCGGTTTTCTTTAATGTTCTTATTAAGATTAGTTTTGTTTCTTTAATATTTTTATTAATATTAGTTTTGTTTTCTTTAATATTCTTAAACGAATCATCAAATTTTTAGATCCTCATTTTATTTAATATTTTGTTGGATAGAGTCACGACATTGGATAAAACGTTAAACTTCAATCCACGTTATTTTGGAAATTTAAATTTAGATCACTGATTAATTCTTATTTATACAATGGGCAAGGTGTCGCACGGGTTATTATATCAGACTAGAGCTGCTGGTGAAACTAAATCATACTGGTGAAACTGGTGACTATCTAAAATCTGATTGGCTATTGCATTCAATAGCCAATCAGATTTTAGATAGTCACCAGTTTCACCAAGTTTCACCAAGTTTCACCAAGTTTCACCAAGTTTCACCAAGTTTCACCAGTTTCACCAGCAACTCTATATCAGACCCGATAACATATACTTTAAATTTATTTGCTAGCAAATTCAATTCTCATTCTCGTCCGAATTAATTATTTAAAATCCATAAAGTTATTACAATTTTCTCGCGATTTTTTAGGTTATACTTGATCTTATGATTTCTATTGCTACAATTAACAATGATCAAATGGGCCGAGTGCTATAAAAAAAGAGGAAAATTGACAACAAAAAGAAAGATCTTCGAAAAAAATATTTTTATGTTATAAATCTTATAATAAATCATAAGAAAATATAAATTTTATGCAAGGATTTATTAATCGGCGTTGTTAAATCGCATCAGTGGTGTTTAACACCACAGTTGCTATTTCTCAAAAACTGTCTAAATAACCAAAACCGGATGTATTAAACAAAAATGTTCAACAACCCAAAAAAACTTAACCCAACTTTTATTTTTAGCTTTAATTTTTAGTCTAGTACTTCTAATTTTATTTTTAACCATAATATTAAGTATTGAACAACAAATTATAATAAAAAATTATATGATGTTCAGCACCACTGATGCGATTTATAATAATGCTTATTAATAAGGTTTAATTTTGACAGAAACAGATGATGTATTTGTTCTCGAATGAACGATGTATCGATTTTATTTCATTTTCCAATAATAATTTTGTTGTTAAGAAAAGTTTATTTATTTCGTTAAATGGAAGTATCTAAACATACCCATTTCATTTTTCTAAGAGTTTTTTAAACTCTCATTTATTTCCAAAATACGCCAATTTTTTTTAATTCTGAAACCCTTAATACACCTGTGTTCGTGTCTTAAATAAAAAATAACTCTAATCTTATTCTAAAGTTATTTACTCAAAAAATTTTTTTTGAAAATTTTGTCAATTTTCCCCTTTTTGCAGCACCTAACCCAAATGTTCATGAACTTGAATTAACCTATATAGATTAAAATAAAAGAGTATTATATGAAAAATAAATTTGAAGGCTCTGGGCTGATAAAATGCGAAACCTAGTTCTATAAAGAAACAAGTCACTATTTTTCAATAGATAAATAGAGTTAAGCACTTATTTAGTATGTATTCAATTTTGAATAATGAAAATTTTATATCATACATGTATTTATGTACTTGATAATTACATTTTAGCGGTAATATTAAGAGAAAACCCTATTAATTTATTAATAATTTATTAATAATACTTAATGTTATAGATAATATATTACAAAAATCTAAGCTTGTGAATCATCATCATGATTGAAATCGTCAATAGTTTGTTTAAATTCAATCTCATTTATAATAAATTCTACAAAACAGCAAAATGCAATGACCCAAATTAATCCATCAGCGATAGCATAAATCTTATTTTCTAAAAGGTAACAATTGGCATAAGCTGTACTAAAATAAAAAGAAAAAAATAACATGAAAAAGATTCTCATTACTATAATCAACCAATTTTTTAAAAGTCGAAATCTATAGAGAATGATAATAAAAACTTCAAATATCAAGTTAATAATTCCAACTATGAAAACAATGAAAATGTTTTTAAAATAAGAGTCATAATCTGGTTTATATCGTACAAATTCGATGATAAAAATAATTAAATAAAGTAATATTAATATTACTTTTATAAACTTAATTAAACTGCTAACCGTAACCACTCCAATTATAGGCCATTTTGGAACACCAGCAAAGAATTCTAATAATGAGAGAAAGGGTATAATCCATAATAATGTAATCATAGCGGAATATACATCTGAATTTAATACACCCAGACCAGCAATAATATTAAAGGTTAATGCAAAAACAAGATAAATGAAAAATATCACCAGGGATACGATAATATGGCTTTTCGTGATAAAATCTTGCTTAAATGTGATAAAAAGATAGGCTAATTCGATTACAAGAAAAACGATGGAAACTGTGAATACAAAAGTCATGATTATAGCTCCACCATATGAAGCAGATGGATTATAATAAATAGGATAAGGTAAAGTTCCATTAGTTCCATTATTAACTGATGCAGGTGACGAATTTGATGGAATATGAATCGCATTATAGATTATTTGATATATCCAGAGAGCAATATAAAGAAGTAAAGCTAAAATTTTAAATGTATTTATAGTTCGATAAATTTTTACATTCGTTGGATATTCACTATCCGTTTCTTTCTCAGGTGGCTCCTCCTGAACAGCAGATGAAACTGGGATTCCATCTGACGCTTGTGGTGCTTGATTATTGGTTATGTCTTCATAATAATTGCTTTGTGATATGACTTGTGAATATATATCATCATACTCAATACTTGTTCTTGGTGATTCTGTCATTTTTTAAGAAGACCAGCTTTTGAAAAAAAATTTTTCAAACAGGTAAAGTATAAAAAGTGAATGACCTATATACTTTTATGTTTACTAAATTCATTGTTACCACCAATGCACAATATTTGTGCAAGCTGTAACAGAACGTTCGGGTGACACTTGACAAAATTGTTTATCTACGTACGTACGTACGTACGTTTTACTAACTTAGTCATATTATTGTTTTAACATAGCCATTTATTAATGTCAATTCTCGTGATACCACATTCTTAATGCAGATTCGTCATTTATCTTTGTCTAAATCAAATTAGACATTAAATTTGTTACACCTGATAAATGCATCTAACCTTATTCTCGATCCCTAACATTTTAAACTTGATCTTTTATGAATTTTTATTTAAATTATTTAAAGTTGTCAAAGTTGATGTAACATAATAAGCTTATGAATTATTATCTCGAAATTTTAAATGTGCAATACTTACAATATTAAAATCTGATTCGAGTGATATACTTATCGTATAAATAGATATAAATAATTTAAGTGTTATGAAAAATAAATTAGCTATTAACACTTTCTATTTTTGAGTATCGTACACCTAGCCAAGACTAGGGATAATTGTAGATTATTTAGTCACTATTAATTATTATGGTTAATTTAAGCTATTTTTTTATACACATTAGGACATACAAAATCAATGTCTTGATTTTCATAATCAAGCTGGGTCAAATTTTGAAAATTTCAATTATTTTGTGAGTTTTTAAAAACTAGACGGTCGATTTTGTTCTGAAGTTTGGTTTTTTAGTCCGTAAGGTTGGATGACAATAATGCTGAGACTTTCATTTGATTCGATTGGTTAATTTATGTCGATTGACACATGACTATTGACCAATCAATTAATAAAATTCAATAGTAATTCTATAATATTATTTACATATATTTAACATGTACACAAATAAAATTTTTTAAACTTCCACCTATTTTCGAAATACGCCATCTTTTTTTACTGAAACTTTAATATAACTGTTGTACGTCAGAACGGAATTATTGTAAATTTAGAATCCGGCTTAAGTTGATTTTAAAATTCGATACTGCAATAAATGCTTAAGCGATTGACATGACAATAGTATTACACCTATCGTTGTGATAAATTGTCAAGATAAAATATAAATTTTTTATATTTGCTTGTTCTTATTTCACTTGTTCGTTCTTTGCAAACTCTCTACCCGATGAATTTCAAGATTATCCATTTTTGCCTCATAATGCATTCGAAGAATTTCTTTCCAAATATTTTAGCAACCAATATTCAGACGTAAAGCCATGACTTTGATTTTTGTATTAAGGTTTTACACGATCCAGCAGATACAAGTACAACGATCGAAAAACACACCCCTGCAACATCCTCAAAGGTTTGGAAAATGATACATATAAACTCGGATACTAATCCAGCATGATTAGAATTAGTATAATTCTAATTAATTTCTTCCATTGGGGTTCTGATAGTTTCCAAAATCAAATAGTATAGCCTACTCTGGATATAACGAACTCAAAATTTTGAAATTTTACCCTAAAATCTTAAGTTTGTTATCGAAAGAGATGACTATAGCTCAAAAACGTTCGAGGCACGTCTATTATGCAACCTTCTTCACAAGTACATATATAATAATAAATACAATTACAAAAACGCGTGTGATAAAAATCATGGTAAATATAAAAAAATGAAAGTACCCCGTGGATTAGTTGCCATCCTACTAATTTGCAATGTGCAACGTTATGAATAGACTCTACCTTAAATCGATTTAGTTATATACTTGATTTTGTTGTAAGTTGAATTGGAATTCTCTAATGACTTGGACACATTTTAGAATTCTAATGCAACCTATGTATATTTTGAATCAACCTAGGTGGATTCTAAATCTACAATAATTCTATTCTGATGTAAACTATAACTATTACTGAACTTGGCATATTTATGAGAAATTAATAATTCTTCGTGAAAGTTTCAAGAACAAGAAACCCAATGATATCGTCAAATATTTCGCCTAAATTAGAGTTAGTGTTAGGGTTAGGTAATAGTATAGTTTAGGCCAATTTGTTAGTGCTAGCAAACAAATAACATGATTGCTTAATTTTACTTGTTCTTGAAGTGTCCCATTCTTCAATAGACATTAATTCTCAAAAATAGTATTAGAAACTTTACCAAATGTTTTATTTGTAAATAACTATTATTTTTATATATTGTATTTTATTTAGGGAATTGATATTTCCACACCCCTTTTTGATATTACCACACCCCTGCTAACTCTAATCCCTAACCAAACCTAATAATTTATATTGATTTTTATTAACAGGGTATGGCAATATCAAAAAGGGTGTAGAAATATCAATTTCCTATTTATTATATGTATTACGGCAATGTTATTGTAGGGGTAGGGTGTGGAAATAAAAAAAAAGGGTGTGGAAATATCAGGTCCCTTTATTTATTTAGATTATTAAAATTTTTAAAGAAATATTAGAAATATAGTTAGACCTCTTTATAATCATATTTGTTTATAATTATATAGTCAGATCTCTTTATAGCCATATTTGTTTATAGTTATATAGTCAAACACTATAGTCACCTTCTTTATAGTTATAAAATTAATATAATTACAAATTTATTTTATCAAATATTTATAATTATATAGAAAATATTTCTATATTAGTAATATTTATATATGTTAACAAAATTATTTTGAGCCTAAAACCTAAAATTAAAATTTGAAGACAAAATTGTTTTTGTTTTATTTTACTTAAAGACAAAATTGTTTTTGCTCTATTTTACTTAGACAAAATTTTTTAATATATTTTTTAAATAGATAAAATTATAAAAATATAAATATATAAATTAAATCTGCTCTTTCATATAAAAAATTAATTTGCTCTAATAGAGATAAAATAAGCTTTTTTAAAATTAATTTTGGCGGTATAGTTATATTTTTTATAATTACAGTTCTTGTATTCTAAAGATATGATTATAAAGAGGTTGATTATATAAAATTTTAATCTAACTTATTTAATAAATCTACTATATAATTATATTTTTTTATTTAAAAATATTTTTAAAAATATGTTTATAAAAAGGTTATACTTTTATAAAAATATTTTTATATTTAATAGTAAATTATTTTAAATAAAATCTAATATAAAAGAGATTTTATATTATATAATGACAAAAAAGATAATTGTATTAATAATACTTAACAAAATTATTTTTGCAATAATAAATAATTTTATTATAATTTCATCTAATAAAACCTTTGCAAATTAATAAATTCTTGATAATTAATAAAACCTTTAATAAAATCTTTAAAAGTTAAACAAATTTTTGTTGATTAATAAAACTTTAATATACTACTCAATATAGATAATTATTTTAAATTTATACTAAAATATTATTATGTTATAAATATAAATTTAATCTAAATTTAAAAATAATTACTTATATATAATAAGATTTTATTATTACTCTAAACAAACTTCTCTATAATAATCTCTAAATATATTATAATTTTTTCTAAATAATATTATTTTATTGTAAATTTTATAATTAATACTATATATATAATAGCAAACTAAAATAGAATTTTAAATATAGTTATTCTTCTATACAATTATATAGTTGGGTATATAGTAAATTTTTTTCAAAAATACTTATATAGCAGTTATCCAAATTTTCACAGAATTTTGAATGTAAATTTTTTATATATAAAATTATAGCAAAAATATATAGAATTACTTATAAACTTTGAAGCTATGATATTTTTTCTCTTATATATT